AGTGGCTTCTATAAACCCGTAAGAAAATGAGTGGCCCCAATCATGATGAAAACTCAGAAAGACCTGCTGCCTAGCTGGCTAAAACTAGATGTGGTCTCCACTCTTCTTCAGTTCAGGTGCTTGCTTTGGACTGGAGCTGCATCCCACTGAGGCAGATCCAGAACTGGGACCAGCATCACTACTTCTGAGCTGATCCCTCCCCATTTCATCCATGGAATGAATCACCTCCTTTGACTTCATGGTACTCTGTGGTCTTGCTACTGCTGTATTGCTGCCATAGTTGCTGCTGTTGTCATTTTATATACTTAAAATATGTGGTTCTTGAAACTATCTTGGGTCCAGAGAGGTGGCTCAGTAAGTAAAGGCATTTGCCATCAAGTCTGATGACCTGAGTCAATACCTAGGAGTCACATAGTGGAAGGAGAGAACCAACTCATGTGAGTCGTCCTCTGACCTTCACATGCATGTTGTGACATATGTATGTACATGCATACACAAAAAAACACAATAAACAAATAAATTTAATTAAAATATAAAAGAAAAAATAAAATTGGATTTAAGATACATATAAAGTCTACCATTTGAAATGACTAAATATAATTACATTAATCTTTTTCAGTGCTCAGATATATTTAGCCTTTGACCTCATCCAGAAGATAAAACTTCAGACTATCCCTCACCTTGAGGTACCTGCTTCTATTCATTTGGATCTGGACATGGTCCAGGCTATAGTATGTAAGCATTTCACACTAGGCTGTGTTTCCTGCAGGTTAGGGAATCCAAGCTTTACTTGGCTCCACAATATATTCTGCACAGCAAAGATGTCCGGAGGCTGCTGAGAAAGAGGCACAGGCAAGCAGTTCTGTCCAGGGTCACCAGTGCCCTCCCTCGTGACTGTTGGCAATGATTGCAAAATCAGCTAGAGGAAGGCAGAGAAACATTAAGAAATAAGTTTTGAAAGCCTAATATGTGCCAAGGTCCATGCCCCCCCACACACATAAACACATATACATACAGTGGATGTCATATATATATACATATATATGCTTATTATTTAATTTTTCTGGCAACCCCATGAGGTAATTATCATTTTTCTTAATGTGTAGAAATCATTGAGGTTCAGAGAGGTTAGGTAACTAGCTTAACATCACAGGATGAGAACATGGAAGAACAGAAATGGAACACAGCTCCTTTAGACTTCAGAGTCAACACCTGCAACACCCCACATCATCCCATGTGGATCTAGTTGGCCTAGGGACCCCAATCCCACATTAGGTGAAGGGCAACTCATTGAGTGAAATCCCATTCGTTCCTCTTGTTTAGGGACAATTAGATTGTGAGAGTGGAAGGAGACTTTGGAGTGACTTAGGTATCTGCTAAACCCCTGAACACCTTGTCTTCTATGGGGCCCTTCACTCTGTAGATGCTAATGTTCCATGCTGGTGGGTGCTGGCTTCACAGACTCAAAGAGACTTTGTTCATCATTTTTAGGGCCAGCTATACTTCTGTCCTTTTGAGGCATCTACATCCATCGCTTCAAACAGATTACCTCTGTATTATCTTAATATGACATCATTGACCATCTGGCTTATTTGAAATGTGAACGACACTAATCCTAGGTGATAATGACTTTCAAGCAACATACTAAATCTATAGGGATATTCGGAGCATTTGCTTTGAAAAAGTGAATTTTCTACAGCCTATTTACCTTTTTCAAAGAATTCTATCATTTTAATAATTTATCATGCCATGTTGTTTTTAGGTGCAGAGAGGTATAAAGAAAAATGTAGTTCTTTTCTTTCTCTAAGGCTTGGGCGATATTGTGGAAGAGGGGGATGAAAGAGTGTAAGAGGCAGAAGACAGGGAAAATAGCTGTGAAGTGCCATCCTCTAGACATGACACAGCCATTGAAATCAGGAACTCACAACTATGGTTACTTGCACTGGGCCTGCACAAGGCTGACCATGACAACAGCCAGTCATGGATCGATGAAGGGCCCAGGAAGTCCACCCACTTGCTACTGAACTGTTGGCTATGGTTAGATTATAGAAGATGGAGAGTCATTGTTTTCAATTGTGTATCCACTGGTGAGTCTATCAGGATCCAATGGATAGTTCCAAATCCATCGTCACAGAGATGGCCCTCGTTAACTCCAGTGAGTCACAATAAAACAAAACAAAAAATAAAGGTTAGAAAGAGATTTACAGGGAAAGTAGAGGTTGACAGGAGTGAGGTAAATAAGAGAAAGTAGTCATGAGAGTAATCAGAACGCATTAAATACACACATGAACTTTTCAGAGAACAAATTTAATTAATAAAAAGCCTAGAATTTTCATTTGCATATGCAAACACTAGTGCATCTTACTTTTTCCTATGTTACAAGAAAGATGTCATCTCATTTAAATCACTTCAAGCATCTTTCTCTGAGAGAGACAAACTGAAGATTTCTTTCTGGGCCATGGTTGGTGTTTAGGGCATGAGTGCAAGCAGGTGACTGACTGACTGTTTAGCAAGCAGTGGGTGTGCCAGACCTCTTCTCCCCCAAGCACTTGAAGGCCTTTGAAGAATTTCCTCTCCGAGCATGTAGGTGACCCTTCTCTTCTGTGGGGGTGAAAATGTGTGCTTTGTTCTGGAAAGTCATCAAGTAGCTTTATTAAGGTCAATTTAATACAGACACAGGATTGACCTCATACATCATCCCATCTTTTTCATTCCTCACAACCATTCTCAGGAAGAGTTACAGTGCATATTACAGTTTAATATGGTCTCTACTTGTCAAGCAAGGAGACTGAGCTCCAGGCACATCAACTTCCCAGTGGTTACAGAGCTAGCACCTAGATCTAAAACCTTGCCTAGAAATGAGCTAGAAGAACATTTTAGGAGGACATAAAGCTGGAGAAGTGGCCTTGGATTGTGTTCTAGTAAAGAAAACAAGCTTTGCACTCACTCATTAGTATGTAGTGAATATTTATTTTGTGCCAAATAATATGAGAACTGGGGTCCATGCAGTGAGTTTAAAAATATAAATCAGGGCCAGCCAAGATGGCTCAGTGGCTAAAGATACTTGCTGCCAAGCTGGACACCTGAGTTTGATCCCCAGGGCCCACGGAGAACTGACTCCTACAAGTTGTCCTCTGGCTCACACACACACACACACACACACACACTCACACATAAAAATACAATAATTTTTACAGTATAAATGCTTGCCTCCTAGAAGCTTGCATTTGGGGTATTGGAGGTGTTGAGCATAGAATTAATGGGGTCTAATTTTAGTTTTGCAAAGTTCCTTCTGGCCATAGTATGTAGGATCACCTGAAGCCAGGGGAGAGTTGTAGCAGCCAGACCTGTTTTTCCATGGCTGCAACAGCCCAGAGGCTGGAGGCTTGACCCAGTGTGTAGCAGAGTTGATGAGTTGGGTTCTAAATAGAGACTTGGACAGACATACCAGTAGAATTCCCTGAGGAGGCAGCTTATCCAGGCTTTCCCAGGAGCTCAGGCCAGCCTGCATCTATAACCTGTGCTCTTTCACAACTTTACAGTTACATTCAGTTCAGTGGAAAATAGAATTCTTTCCTCTAGGTTTCTTATCATCAGGCTTCTGAAAGGAGAATGCCTGTCAGTGTCTGGAGTGGGCAGGATGGAGCTCAAAATCCCCAGGGCATTAATCACCCAGATTATAGTGTACTAGCTGGCTCCTTCCTTCTACCCAAGGCCAACACCCTGCATATGGCACATGTGTGGATATACCTGAGATTTGTAGCATGTCCACCTCAGAGCCACTCAGAGTGTACTTTAGTATGTCCCAAAGGCTCTCTTGCAGAAGGATGGATCTTCTTAGTATAGTTCAGTCCAGCTTTATGTTCTCTGCCTTTATTATTTCTCAGAAATGATCTTATTGGGTCCAAATCAGATGTCTCTTGATGGCAAAGAGACATTTTAAGATATTGTTTTACCATGCTTTTGGAGTTCAGAAAATACCTTCCTTCTAGTTAATAAATACTAACCGGTCATGGTCACTCAACAAAGAGCTGACAGATCTGATGCTAACTAATAACTTCAAAATAGAAGCAGAGACTCCTCAATTTACAGTGGGACTGCATCCTGATCAGACCATTATAAGCTGAAAACATCCTGGGACATCTAATGCATCTCACCTACCGAACATCCTGGCTTAGCAATTTAGTATACTAAAGATTCCATAATTTCTTCTTGTGATCATGTGGGGGCTCTGGCTTGCTGCTTCTGTCCAGTAACATAAGAGAGGATCATATGCATATCATGAGCACAGGAAAAGATGAAACCTTGAATACAAACTTGACTCTCTATTAAATAAATATCTCATTCATACCATCATAAGGTCAAAAAACAGTAAGTAGAAACATCATAAGTCAAGTTCTATGCAAATTTGTTTTCCTAGTCAGTGAAATTGCTATCACATTGTTAGTAAAGTAATGTGAATAAATGTCATCCTCATTCAATTGATTTTCATTGATCTTAAGTGAATGACCTTACATTTTCAAGTACAAGAGACTGACCATGAGTAACCACAAATGTTGCATCAGCTTCTTGGTTAATATATCCCCAGGAAAACATGAGAAGCTAGCTGTGCTTGTGGATTCATAGGAAGAAATGATGTTTGGACACTTTATCTTGAAATAGAGCTAAGTGATTTGTTTCCAATTAAAATCTCTGGAGGGCTTTGAGATCTTAGGCTCTTCCTCACCTCATCTTTGAATATCGTCTAGTACTTTACTGAACTTGAGCATCCATTGTGCCCTGCAGATAGTATTTGTCATAACCCCTTTCACTTTTACCCCACACTAGAGAGTATCCCTGAAGTTGCACCTTTGCACTGTCATCCATACCCAGAAACAAGTGGTCACACTAGCAAGATACGGGTATCTCCAGTTCCCTCTACCTCCAGAATACAGATGAGGTCTGCACTACTTGAAAACCACTCAAAATGAACTGAAGAGTGCCTTTTCATTTTTTCCCAGGACTGCGTCCAAAGAGGACTCTGCGTCTGGTACTCTGGACCGCTGAAGAGCAAGGTGGAATTGGTGCCTCCCAGTACTATGAGAGACACAAGGTAAAAACAACCAGTGGATGCTGAGTGCTTGCATTCATAATATCAGTATAAATTAAAGCCATTCATTTATAATTTTTATTTTAAAATTTTTAGTAATTGTCTACGTAAGATTCTCAATACTCTGTAGTACGCCAACACTGGCAAATAACAAGCTCTGTAAGTGAGAATACCATGGTGACATTAGGATGTTCTGTAGAGCTAAGGGCCTTCCTATTTCCTCATCATAGTCTGTGGCTCTAGCAAACTTCCAGCTGCATGCTGCCATTTTCTTAGGGTCTTACTAGATCTACTGTTGTCACACATGACAGAGAGTGATAGATAAGAATACCCTCTCCACTGAGCCCAGCCCTAAGCCCCTGTGCCCTAAATCCTCCTGGAAGTCCTAGGATTTGAGGGACAAGTCCTGAGATCTAGAGTCAGCCAAAGTATCACCTCTGTGGTGGGGGGAATGTGACAACCACAGCTCTCTGATCAGGGAACATGAAGAACAGCTGGATTAGACACTGAATTTAGGCGAAGATAGTCATTGTGGAACATCATGGTGGAAATTCAAAACTGTTTTTAATATTGAGGACAGGAGGTTAATACCAAGAACAAACTTGGAGAGAACAAAATGTACAAGGACAGAAAAACCTCTAGAACAAGTCAAATGTCAGCGCAAAGAGAAGCTCTTTGAACAGCCCAGTGGGAGCAGGGAAGGACGTCTGCCACCTGCTGTTACTGCTGGCTTATTCTCTCTAAATCTCTGGATTAGAAGAAATAAGTTCCAGTTATCTAAATCAGACAGGCTTTGTTTTGTGGGTTATGTTTGTATCCTTTTTGACCTTTTTATACAGTCTTCATCTCTATTGCCGTATTTCAGTTAGTTAGAATATGAATTCAGTATCACAAATTTGGTCAAAGTAAAGTCATTTACTATACAAAGAACTTATGTTTTATACCCAGCTCTTTTCTTACTTCAATTGTTTTGGTCTCCAGCAATCCTAAAGATAAGAAATTCAAGACAACCATCCTTTGACTGGTAGGTAACAGCATCATCTTTTATATCTCATGGTGACCTCATCAGTAGAAAAGGATTGTTGTGGGTTCAGCAGCGCTCAACATTTTTGGAGCACCTACTGTGCTCTATATACTATGTTAAGTATTGAGTTTAATGTCATTAAAAAGATTCACTCTAAGAGTAGGCGTGGTGGCCCAATCTTGTAATCTTAGCACTGAAACAGGAAGATCATGAATTCAGGACCAGCCTGTGCTACAGACTAAGACCTTATCTGAAAAGAAAAGAGATAAAAGAAAATTTCCCTGACCCCATAGAGACTGTAATGTAAGGAAGGACATGGGTCACTAAACTTACAGTATAAGGTGTTAAGCCTTCTAATAAAGAGTAAGATACCCATGTTGGGCAAAGGAAGCTCACCTAATATGACATTGAAGGTCAGTCAGAAGAAGTTGCACAGAAGAAATTACATCAAAGTTGAAACCTGGAGACTAAGTATAAGCAATCAGAGAAAAAGTAGTAGAGGGAGGTGATCCTAAGTTTTGGAAGGGACCTGTGTGGGCAAAGGGACCTGTGTGAACAAAGGAACCTGTGAGGACAAAGGTTAAGGCAAGAGAGAACATGGCACCAGGAGAAATGAGAAGTTCAGGGAGGCTGGTACACAGAATACAAGATGTATAGTGGTCAGAACACAGAGCAGAAGAGCCTGAGCAAGAATGTACACACTCTGCTTAGAAGCTTTCACTCTGCCAGAAAAGTAACTGTGTTATCGTTAAGAAACAGCTTTAAAATTCTATACATCTCATACTTCATGAAAACAGAATACCTGAAAGAACTATTCTAAAGCTTTTTTGATTTTGTAAAATATGCTCTTCCTTAAGGAAAAATTTTGGATTCAAACCACAATGGATTTGGCTTGAAATTTCCTTACCACTGAAATTCCTACAATCTTAAAAAAAAAAAAAAAGGTTTCTCTATAACCTACTAAAATGCATGGATGAAATCAGAAATGCCTGGGTTTTAAGTTTCTAAGAAGTTGGCAGGGCACCCACTCAAAGAGCATGCAATCACACACACAAACAGAGCCAGTTTATGTTTTCAGTATCTGTGTAGGCTTCGTAGGAAGGGACTTGTGGACTAATGGTTGGGCAAACTGCATGTTCAAGACTGGAAAAAAAGAATTACAGAGGCAGACAGCAGAGTGTTTTGTTTTTACAGAAGTTCTTTATCTCACCTTTAAAAAGTTATTCAGCATGTTTTATTTGATTCAGCCTGTTCCTAAGGACCTAGTCTGGATTCTTATGAGTCTAACTTAAAAGGAAATAAATAACCAAGTCCTAAACCCGGAGGGGGATGAAGCAGTTTGTCCTTAAATTCTCCTATAGTGTCACCAAATGCCAACACACAGTGTCCACTTCACTAAAGTTGCAGTAGAGGTCCTGTTTCTGGAAGGCAGAGAAACTGCTGAAACAACCCCTCACATTTCAGTGGTTTAACACAATATAAGTTTATTCATTGCTTATTTAACATACAGTATCTAGTTCCATAAAGTTACTTAGGGATCCAGGCTGATAGGCTCCTCAGCAAGATGGCATTTAATATGCCTTTAGCACTGACAACCAGGTGACAGACAGAGTGGGCAGTTGTAGAAGTGGTAAACATCATTTCTACTCACATCCCATTGGCAAGAACTCATATAGTTCGGTTGCTTAAAAGGCTAGGAAACACAGTCCCTGGGTGGGCAGCCACTTCCAGCCACAACTCTGCACATGTTAGAAAGGAGCACAGCTGGTGCAAAGCTGGATGTGCTCAGATCTTCACCTACTTTGTTCTGAACTCCTATTTCCATATACCCTATGAAACCTTCACCTCCCGTAATGATTAAATTCAGGTCAAGTCTATGAACTGCATTTTTGGTTAAAGAATTTATCATTATGATGAGGATAGCTCACATGCGCACGCACACGCACACGCACACACACACACACATACACACATACACACACACACACACACAAAGTTAATCTTTAGTCACAAAGATCTTCCATTCTACCCTACCAATAATTTTATACTTTCACAAAAGGAATTTAGTACTACAAACCATATAAGTATTGTTGTAAATTATTTACCAAATATATTTTTTAAGGATTCTGTGCTGAGTGATATAACACAGTAAATGTAAAGGTGTTAGAAATGGAAGAAATGGCCTTGATGCATTAGTCATAGGGACAGATTCCAGGCCTAATCCTTGCAGAATAAAGGGATCTGAATGAGGGGTGAGAAGAAACAGCTACATATACCCCTTCATGCTGTTGATTATAAAAATGAAAAGTTTGTGTTAGAATGTTCATGTCACAGTTATGGTTATTAGTGATCTATACCAAGAATCAGAAAATTGGAAGTTAGCCTGCCACCTGTTTATGTACGGACCTCAAACTGAGAAGTGTATGTCTTCAGCTGAATGTACAAGAGACTATATGTGGCCCACAAAACTTAAGGTATTAACTACTGGGCTCTTTGCAGAAAAATTTTACTACCCCATAGCCTTACGATAAAAATATAGCTTCATGTTATTTCCATACAGTAAGCTCTCTATTATTTTACTTGGAAAGAATATTTTGTAAATTTTGTTTAGAGTCATATATTTTCAAGTGTAAGAATTTTACAAAAATTTAAAAAGCTGCATTCACAGACTTTTTTCTTTTTCAGTCTTATTTGGTAGAGTTTAACAGTAAAGTTGACCAACATGGCACCAGCTGTGGTGGAAAAGAGTAGAAAGAGATTATTTATTTATTTTTCTTTTTTGATTTTCTGAATGCACTTTTATTTCCCATTCACAGAATCTATTCAGCAATGAAAGTTCTACAAGAGCTATTTAAATGAACATGTTTAGCTAAACTTTATGGTAATAAAATTAACATTAATATTCATTGTCCTTTTCTTAGTAAATAGGCATTGATTTATAATGTGCTTTTATTAATATATTCATAGAAAAGAATTTAAATTATATGGTACAATTTATTGTCAGACCAATTTTCTAAATTAGATTCAGATTAATAGCTACCTTTACTTTATAATTATGCTTTCTTATAAAAATATTAGCTCAATTATTGCAATAATTGTTAGAATTTAATAAACAACCACTAAAGAATTCACTAAATTATTGTGAATATGTATAAAGAATTCTAAATTATTGTGAATATGTAAGGCTATTTGTGCTTTGCATATGAATTTTAAAATTCATATGCAATTTATTATAATACTTAAAATGTTTTTTCTATAATATTGCTAATGTTTTCTGCATCAAAAAAGTCTGTAAAAATTTTGGTGATAGTTGTTAAATAAAATAATTCAAATAGGCACCACTGAGTTTTCACTATAATTTGGAGTCAAGAGTTTTCACTATAATTTGAAGTCAATCAGAATAAAAATGATATTGGTCATCTGTCTATCACTGTAACAAAATACATGTGATAATCAACTTATAAGAAGAAAAGATTTATTCCGGTTCACAGTTTCAGAGAGTTCAGTTTCAGTGACCACTTGGCTTTGTTGTCTCTGATCCTGTGGGAGGTGGCAAAAAGCATGCCATGGAATAAAGTTGCTCACCTTATTGTGACCAGGAAGCAAGGAAAGGGATCTCCCTTTTATGACAAGACTCTTCTCCCCGAACCCATAAGCTATGAATCCATAAATGGATTAATCCATTCATAAAGTCAGAGTCCTCAAGATCCAATTACCTCCCAGAAAAACACCCCATGTCTGAACATTGCTACAGTGGGAACCAAGCCTTCAACATACAGGCTTTAGGGAGACATTGAGGATTCAAACCATCTAGCGTCTTCCTAATAATTCATAGCATAATCATCTCATAAAGGAGTTATATGTGTAATTTTTTTCTCATTAAAAATGCTAGTTTACAGGACTAGAGAGATGACTCAGTATTTAAGAGCACTGATTGCTCTTTCAGAGGACCTGATTTCAATTCCCAGCACCCACATGT